ATATATATCTCTCAGTACTCTTACGCATGTCAAGTTTATGGCGTGCGCTAGCTGCTTCGTTACTGGAAAGAATACATCATATCATAATTTTACTTAAACTTGCACGTAAATCTTTTGTTAATTAAAATGACTAAAAATGCAGAGCCGTGGCAAAGTTGATATTGGAGAGAGCGTCAACCTCAAGACCCCTGCATTAGGATGATGCATCATGTGATGGAGCACATGCACGAGGTGGTTGGAGGCGTGAAGCAGAGCAGAGAGAATTTAGTGCGGCTGGCTGCCACGTCAAATTGGTGTTTCCGAGACCAAAAATAAATGTGATTAAGTGAGGTTCCAATAGGAAGAGAGTGGAGCCCACTTCAAATAGCCGCTGGTAGGATCGCCGTCTCTTGAAGCAATCCCCCGGAGAGTGAGAGACTCAAACCCTCCTTGCCTTTAAGACAAGACACCGCAGAGTATATGAGTGCGCGGAAGCCGCCGCCGCATGCATTCTCTTTACGTGCACCCGGCGACCACCTCATCCTATTTATTGTTCTCGCTGACATGGCCTTGCCCTTTTACCTAATTTCAATTAAATGCCTCTCTAACCACCAGGTCATTGTTAATCAATGCTCATCTCCTGTTCCTTCAAACCTGTTTCTTAATACTACTTCTGGTTTCAATTATAAAACCTTATTTGTAATCTATAAACGAGGTTTTATAATTAAGATCAGAGGTAGTATGTACTAATATTCCTACATGTATGAACTGTTAAGTCCCGGTAGCTACTAACAATTTATAACTGCTTCCTCCTATACGTTAAAATTCTCTAATCATCATTATCGTTACCAACGCATCAACATCAGTATAGCATACTCCAAAATTAAATTATACAGTTTTGCACGAGCCCTAATGGCTATAAAGTATAAATGCTCGGATCAACTTTAGTTTATGCGCAATGAGTATTGGAAAGGTTATATGCATAATTTTGAATTTATTTATGCTAAAATATCTGATGAATTTATTTATTTTTATATCCCTGGAAAATTAAATACTTCACACTACACGCTATACTAAACCGATGTGGTAACAAGAAATTTAAAGAAGTTATGAAAGAATCCAAATGTCAAGAAAATCATTCGTCACGTTAAACGTCTCTTATTCACATTACGCCCACGATTTTCCTCATAGCTTTCGCCTCCTTTCTTTCTTTTTCCTTGTATCTCTCTCGAACCTCAAGCCACTGTTGCATTTCGCACTCTATAAAAGCATATCGACTCTCTTCCATCTCAGCGCAGACGAGATAAGTGGAGAAGATAACGAAGGCCAGAGGGAGAAGATGGCGAGTGGATTCCTTCCATTTCTGGCGATGGCTTTCGTGCAGCTGGGGTACGCAGGCATGAACATCATTTCAAAGCTTGCAATGCAATCTGGCATGAACCCTATCGTCCTCGCCGCTTATCGCCAAATCTTCGCCACGCTCGCCATTGCTCCCTTTGCTTACTTCTTCGAACGGTATAAATGTCTTCGTTATTTTCATTTATATCTATCTGTTCTTTCGCCACCTTCTTATTTTCTTAATCATACATGCATGCATCAACATCAAACACCTTACCCTGCCTTTCAAATTTCAGTTACTGCTACTCTGCTTATATATATTGTATAGCCTCATCTTTTTCATGCATCTTTTTGACGTCTTCCTAAATCAAAAGTAAATTCAAACCTTGAAAGCTTTCTGTAACAAGTGTATGAAAATAGTTCGAATAAGAACATGGGATCAGAAACAAACAACTGAAACCGAGTAAATGAGACTGTCCATTTAGTCTGTCGCCTTCGATCATATGTTCAAATGCACTGAAAGAGAGCCTAACTGACGTGATCGGCAAGGGGGTGGAGACAATTTTTTAACGTTTTCCTTAAAATCGGGTGCTACTCTCCGGGACATGCGCACGTAGGGTTGGCCTCTTGCGTGTTTTGGAAATAAGTGATCGGTGCAAGGCAGCAAGAGTAATCTTAACTATATACTTTTCTGTACAAGTTTTCCTTAGAGTGGTCTTGTTTATATGAAATAAGCTAAAGAGATAATATTACTTGTGAAAGAAAAATAAGCAACGACCACGCACTGGATCCAGATTCTCTGTTTATCTGCCTTTAATTTTTATTCTTGTTTTGTTTTGCAGCAAAACGGTCCCCAAGTTGACCAGGCCCATTGTGTTCCAGATATTGCTTTCTTCCTTAACTGGGTAAGCCTTTGGTCTGTACCTCATTCTCACGCTCGGCCTTGTTTTATTTGTTCTGCGCGTTTAACCTAACAAGCGTTCGCCCAGATTTTTAAGTATGCCGACTTGAAAAGGGGCTGCGATGTGTTCATATTCGTCTGTGTGAGTGGTGTATTTTTCATCTCTAAAATTGAGTCGGTTTGAGGATGAAATGATGCAGGGTAACTGGAAACCAAGTATTTTTCTTCCTGGGCTTGAAATACTCTACTGCCACAATTGCATGTGCGATGACAAATTTGCTCCCAGCTTTTACCTTTATCCTTGCACTCATCTTCAGGTGCGTCTACTACACACACACACACATGTGCAACTATGTTTTCAGAATTTATAGTATTGTTGGCAGTCTTAAATACTTGAGGATTAAAAATTTTATTTTTGGTCTGTGGTGTGGGCAGACAAGAGTACCTGAAAATAAGGGCATGGAGTGGGCAAGCAAAGATAATAGGAACTGTATTGTGTGTGGGTGGAGCCTTGGTATTGTCATTCTACCATGGAAATGTCATTGACATAGGTGAATCAACTATTCACTGGGGATACGCAGAGAGAATGCAAGCAACAAGCTCCTCTGCCAAACCCAATACGTTTCTTGGCCCTTTCTTCTTGGTTGTTAGTGCTCTCGTCTGGGCAGTATGGTTCGTCGTCCAAGTAAAGCTTCATGCGCCTACCTCTTACGTTGTTCCTCACAATTTCTCCCTACAAAGTAATAGTAATATGATAACAATAATAATAATTCTTTTAAATATCAGGCGGACATGGCAAAAAATTTTCCAGCTCCGTACACGAGCACAACCTACATGTGCTTCTTGGCGAGCTTCCAGTGTGTGGTCATTGCTCTGTCTTTTGATCGCAGCGCTTCAGCTTGGTCCCTCGCAAATCCTATCCGAGTCATTTCTGCTCTTTATTCGGTTTGCTGCCTTCTGCATTCTATAAACTACCCCCACTTCCAGTTGCTAGTACTTATTGTTAGCGTTATCAATTAATTAATGTGGTAATATGTACTGGTTTCAGGGGGTTCTTTGCACAGGAGTGGCGTATGGGTTCATGTCGTGGACTATTGAGAGGAAAGGTCCTCTTTATGTGTCTGTGTTCACCCCCTTGCAGCTCGTCATCACTGCTTTTATCAGCTGGGCTCTGCTTCGCGAGGAAATATACGTCGGAACGTATGAAATATAATATACATTTTCCGCTTCAATAGTTACCGATCATATATAAATGTTTGGCTTTTGATTCGTGTTCTATATTTGGTTCAGTGCTATAGGGTCGCTGCTTATAGTTATGGGACTCTACTCTGTGTTGTGGGGGAAGAACAGGGAGGTTACCAAGAAAGACAATAATGAAGATATAGAATCAGCGGCGGAGAAGAAGGCAAAAGAGGCGAAGAATAGCGACTTGGGATTGCAGTCCTTTATGGTGTCTTCAAACTCAAGCAATGAGTTTGCTGCTAGCTAGAAGCAGAGCTTTATCAAAGATTACTGAGAAGGAGACCGCTAATGGCCAAGCATCTTTCGGATCATCAGTCCTTTTTTTTTTTTTTTGGGGATTCTTAAGTGGAGAAACATTATTCCCCAATACAATCCTCGTATTCTATTTTCAATGTAATGATTCGATACCGCCACTGTTGGATATCTTCTTGCCTTCCCCCCCCCGGGGGAATGATATAAAAAAAGGTCAAGATATCTGAATTTGACAGTTAAACCCGCGGGTGCCAATTAATTCATGGCTTATTTGGATTTAAGCATCTTCACGTAATTTAAGGTAAAACTCATTCCATATATTTATTTTGTACTTCATAAATCACAATTAACAAATTATTTATAAATCATTTCAAACAAATCCTCCGTCTACCAAAATAATCTTAAATCTAGATTCAACTTAACAAAACAATAACAGATCATTTTATCGAATAAGAAAATAACAAAATAATAATTTATGTTCAACAAAATAACAATTTATGTATAGTAAAATGATGAATAGAATGAATAATGTGACATTTTATAACTTAAATGCTGTATATTGTATTATTCATTGCAGAAAATTTTTTATTCTTCCGATCTTAAATATAAGACTCATTTTAATAAATTATACTATAAAATAAATTTTATATTTAAGACTGGATAAAGTAATTAAATAAAAATATATAATTCTTAATAACAGCCTGTATGGATGAATCGCAAAGAATAATCATTTTGACTGCCAGACCTATTCCTCGTGTTGGGTCCTTCGGATCCAACCCAAAATGAAAAAGATTAGTGCCGGCCATGGACAACGTTTTTTTTTTTAACAAAACCAGTTGAGTGAATTAGTTCCTGAAAATTTTTCAGGATTAAAGCATACCTCCAGACTCAGAGAGCATTTATAGAAGTATTTATAGATTGCATACTAATAAAGTTCTCACACCCATAGTAGGATTCAAACTTATAATCTTATGAGTTATAAACCGACTATTTACTAGCTAGACCAATTCTTATTAGTATAGACAATGCTGTTTAAGTTCACAGTCTGAAAAATCACATTCCGTTTAATATTCTGGATTAGTACCCCAAAATATGCTCTGGACTCGGCCCGCGTTATGCCGAGCTCTTGTGTCTGGTGAATCCGCTTCTGCGGACCAAATAAAATTTAAAATAAAAAATAGGTGAGAAAAAGCAGAACCCGCGCTGATATGGCATGATCGGTGCCCTCATGAAATGTTTTGACGATCAACAACCGCGTCAGTCAAATTTCCTTAACAGAGACTAACGCCGTCAAATGACCGTTTGCATTCCGTCTCTCGTGCATTATAAAAATGTGAGGAGCTCATTCCTGCCTTCACAGGCTTTGCTCTCGTTGTATTTGGATCTGCACTCAAATCAGTGATCGTGTTATCTCTCTCCATGTAAGTGGCTTCTACAATGTTTAGATTAACTTTTTGCTTTTGATTTCCTCAGATCAGAATTTAGTTTGGTTCGAAATCTGCGGATCCGAGTTCATTCGTTTAGATAGCCAATGAATGGTTGCGCTACGAGAGCCTCATTTGGATCTCTTGGTTTTTGGTTTTCCTTGCAAGGATTCAATCTGTACGAATTCTTTTCCGTGTAAACCATATTGAACGTCCTATTGTAAATGCAGATTTATTCACGAGAATAGATCTTACAAGCGGTTGTGATTTTCAATTTTATTATTTCATGCAAGCAGATCTGAAAATTTTGACAACTTACGTTTAAATATTTAATTGATGTTGAGGTTTTTGTGCATGTTTGTTAGATTTCAACATAATTTGAGAAACAGAACTGCGAATAGTTTTCCTACTGAGGTTTTAGTCTAGCACGAAGATCCTTTGTCTGAATCCTTTAAGCGTTGCAGTTCTCGTTGCTGCATGGGTATGAATTAGTTTTTCTGGTCCCGTGGTGATGATAATGGTCCTGAAATATTTGAATTTTTAAAGTGAGGAACTGATTGATGAATGAATCTGCGATTTCATCACTTAATTGGCCTTTGAGTCTTCTCCTTATGCAGCTGAAAGAAGAGATGGGGTTGTCTTTCGGTAAGCTATTTAGCCGGCTCTTTGCCAAGAAAGAGATGCGTATTCTGATGGTAGGTCTCGATGCTGCTGGTAAGACTACCATCTTATACAAGCTCAAGCTCGGAGAGATCGTGACCACCATTCCTACAATTGGTATGCTGCTTATTTTCTTATATCTTGCATTTTTTTCGTTTGCTGATATTTCTGAATTTTATGCCCCAGTGTTTCTTGGTGTTCTTTGCTTACTTGATCTGATCCAATTTCACATGCTACAGTATTTATGATCAGAAAAATAATTGCAATTGCAATTGATGCTTATATTCACTACTTTACAGGGTTTAACGTAGAGACTGTGGAATACAAAAACATTAGTTTCACGGTTTGGGATGTTGGTGGCCAGGACAAGGTTTGTTACTTGTGTCTTATCGGTAGTTAGATTATGTTGAGATCTCTTTCAGCTTTGGTAATTATCTGATTTATTAACTATACCATGATACTTTTATGTTTTTTACTGTTGTATTTCCCATTAGTGGAGTGATTAAAAAAAAATTCTTTTAAAACAAGAGTGAACTTGTGTCGTATGCACTCTAATACTTGTCATGTGAGTTGTGTTTTCATGTGAGCTTGGGTCTCGTGCTAATTAGAGGCTCTTTTGTTAGCACACAACGTAAACTCCGTTATTTATATTGGAGCCATCTAATCATATTATGCTTTTCCTAAGATATTATGGGGTCATGAAGGTTTGTTTTAAACATGCAGTAAACATAGATCATTCATAATCTTCAATCATTTGCTTGTTGTACTCAGCAGCTTTTACCACCCTGTCTTGAATGGGTCTATTAGGTTAGCTTATAATTTTGTAATGTCACCATTTGGTTCTAGCATGCTTAATGGACCATAAACCTTTCCTCATTAATCGTCTTGCGTGGTGCGACTACAGATTCGTCCTTTATGGAGACACTATTTCCAAAACACACAAGGGCTCATCTTTGTTGTTGATAGCAATGATCGTGATCGTGTTGTTGAGGCCAGAGATGAACTTCACCGGATGTTGAATGAGGTAATAAAAGATTCTCAATGCTGTGTTTTGGCATGCGCCATGGATTTTGGTTATGTATACAGCATTGTAATTGAACATGAAAGAGAAAGGGGAAAAGGAGAGAGAACATCATGGAAAAAAGTCCTTCTACTGGAATATTGAAATTGGTTAACCCAAAATCTTATTAATCATTTTGGGTTTTGGAATCTTTATGGGTTTCTGACATTATCGAGTGCAAAATAGCCTGGTAACCTTTAAAGCTTATTAATAGAGATCATCTTGCTGGTCGGAGACTTTCTTTAGCGGCCAACTCTATAAATGACGGAAATAAAACTTGGAACTTTTATGTAGTAATACTATTTGCTCCCATCACTTCGTGAATTAATGCTTACTAATGTTCTTAACACCCAGGACGAGTTGAGAGATGCAGTACTTCTTGTATTTGCCAACAAGCAAGATCTGCCAAATGCTATGAATGCTGCCGAAATCACGGACAAGCTTGGTCTTCATTCTCTCCGTCAGCGCCACTGGTATTTTGATGCAATTGATTGATGTCTGCCTGCCTTGAGCATTTGAAGCACGTGTGTTTTGTGGTGTTATCTACGTTGTTGATTCAGATAATTGGATTGTGGTTTTGTTTTTATGTCAGGTACATCCAAAGCACGTGTGCCACTTCTGGAGAAGGACTCTATGAGGGACTGGACTGGCTCTCCAACAATATAGCCAACAAGGTAGGCTTTAATAATTAATTCTACAGCTGGCTTTACTTGGATTCTTGCCCTGCGTATAATAATTTGGTTAATTTGCGTATTTTTTGTATCAGGCTTAAAAGGCAATCATGTTCGATGGGATGCTGCAATCTTTACTTTAGAGTGGGCTTTTGGCTTGTATCATCACATTGATTGACACTGATTCTGTTCCTGCGTGATTTTTCCCCAGTTTAGTTAATTGTTATATTGTTATGTCATATGCTAGCAAATCTGTGTTTTGATTAATTTGTTTCTGTAGATTCTGAATAAATGAATGAATTACATATACGCTTCATTAGCTTAGTTGTCTTAGAATTAGACACCAGTGAAGTGAGTATATATTGTCAAATCATTTTTTTCAATTGAAAAAAGTAATGGTTTTTCTGTGGATGTATTAACAGATTTTAAGTCATTGTAGAGCTGCACTTGTCGTTGAAGTTTAGGGGGAAAAAAGAGAGAATATCCACGGTCATTGGAACAAAACAATTTACCGATGATTGAGAACATGGTAAACTACCGGAATATGGGAGAGAATTCGTTAACATTATGTAGGCGAATGTAACTAGGAAAGAAAAGAGTTAGGATGGGAGATGTAAAAATGAAAAGCATAGCTATATACATAATCACTAATTGAGAGGAGTTTGAGGGCTCATTTAAAATAATTTATAATTGGTTTTTAAATTATGATTTCCAAAATAAAAAATTTTGTTCGACTTATATAAGATGTGTCTATAGATGCTTAAAATTGTGATTTCAAATGGGTCCAAGCCCTGCACGGTCAAACCCATCATTCGACCAATAATCTTGTTTTGGACGTTAATCAAGGAAGGCGCCCAAAATTGAATTAGAAAAAAGCACGCCACGCCGTGTAATATTATGCGATTTGTGGCACTCCTACAATGGTGTCATTGTCTAGCTCAATCCCATCACGCATGTTAATATCAATAAATCAATATATATTTGATATAATAGGTTTATAAGAACTTGTGCTATTCATACATTATAAATAGCACGACTCATTTTATCAGGATAACAAGCAAGGCCCCAACGTAGAAGTTTAAAATGGAAGAAGGCATTCGTAGCGTTTTGATGGAGGCCCAAAAAGGAACATGAAAAATATCGATCGGGGGCAGGAAGGAATTTGAACATATCTACTGCCTCAGCACCCTGTTTGAGCTGAAGAGAAAGTTCTCCTCGCCAGCAACGGTGGGATTCAGTCGCCCCGCTGCCCAGCCATTATTCATCAGTCGAGCCGGATCTCCTGTCACTCGGCTTCCCTCAGCTTGCCTTTCAAATTCCCGCAGACCTTTTGCCTTCCTTTCTTTCCTTCTCTTCCTCTCTTCGTCTCGTTCTTTCCTCAGCCAACTTTCAACTGTTCTCTGCGCATTCAAACACCAATCGGGCACAATCATTCATTAATGTATTTATTCATGCCTGAAATTCCACTGCTTAGACCATGCTCTCCACTCCACATCCACACCCCTTTTATATTAAGTTTGTCAGCTCATAAAGGCTCATGCGACTCCGCATTGAGGAATCTACATTTACCCTACTTATTGACCAAAGAAATTTAACTGAATTTTGGGAAACGAACTAACCATCAGTGACAATTTGCTGATGTCTTTGACTTTATCGATAGGCATTGCCAGTTGCAGCTTTCCATGAGCTACGTAAACCTTGTAAACAACGAAATCAGTAAGCATCATGTCAAATCATGAGCATAAAAGGATTCAGAGATGGAACGTAAGACATACTATGTGTGTAGGCCAATTCTCAAGACCGTCAAAAATGTGTGTTGCATAGATAATTGTAGCACCCCTCTCTTCGCATTCCTTTCGTAGAAAGTTCAGAAGATCGGCCCTTGCTAGAACATCAAGATCCACTGTTATCTCATCAAGAAGAAGAACCTAGAAAAACAAGGATCGACATTATATTTTTGTACAATGATGCCTCAATTATACAACTTGTCCTGAATTCAACTAGCAAGTTGGAAAAAGAAGAGGCTACAACAGTTTCCCATCTACCATGAGCTTTATAATCACACATTCACACCTTGAATGGCTTGAGAAGACCCATACAGATTTGAACTCTTCTTCTTTGACCATCAGATACTTTATGCATCCTCCAGGAGAGATTGATATCTAGTACCTGGAATGTTGAAAATCAACAAGGAAAATTAGGCAAAGGTTTTCCAGAGAGAACAATGTATGTGTTTTTAGGAAAAACCTTCTCATAAATGAGCTCAATCCGGTTGGAATAACAATAGAAATGACTTGGCGTCTATATACAGTAGCAGAATTGGGAGATCCTTTTGGGCACCATTAAGTCCTAATTTTATGTGTTAAATTTTGCAGCCTTCCGTTTTCCTAGGGAGGGATTACCATTCCGTGACAAACGGTCAAATCTGGGCTTATAAGCAGTACCCTTTGGTTTTAAAGAAAACTTTGTAATTTGTAATTAGAACCACCACATCTTCATCGCCTCACAAAACAGAAAAAAAGAAAGGAAAAGAAAACAGTAATAAAGGTGAGGTAAACTAAGTCAGTTAGGAGGTGCTTGTGTGGTTCATCTGGGGAAGGATTACCAGGACATGTTGATTTTGATAATTTGACCGTGAATCAGATGCGATCCAGTCGAACCAATTAATTTTATCAGTATCAGTATGCTTCAATATCCACAAAATTGCTAAAAGTTTAGCTTACAAATACTTAAAATCCCAAACTAAGGCCCAAAATGGTTCTGAAGAAAATTAGAATGTCACACAACTTAATAACACTTTTACTTTTTTCTTGTTAATGCAAATCGATTATTTGTTCAATAAACAGCAAATCACTGAATTTGTACTCTCTATGCTCTTCTACAAGTCAGTTTTATCTTTATGTATGGAAGGCCAACAAATGATCAAAGAATTAATAGTCAGTTTCAGAAAATTAGGAAAAAGCAACACCACAGACAGTTAATATGGGGTTCAATAGTATAGGTAATTAAATTCATCCTACCTTGATTAGCTCTGCTCTTCTTCCAGGATCAATCCCACCTACCCCAAATATCAGTTTCTCTGCAGAAACATCCATTTGTATTGGGACCTCAAACCCTGCAAAAGCAACATCTCGTCTCCACTGACCAGAATTTGAAAAATAAAAGAAGTCATTTAATCTAAATAGGCATGAGTAATAAACTGAAAGTTAACTGCTGGATTATAATAATCTAACTCATTTCTTCATTCTCCCTCATCAATGTCTAACTGTTTCTAGACTGTTACTGCCTATCCACAGACCACAATCAACAATAGATGTATTGCTGATATGCATAGCATACGATGGGCCCTGGTAAGATGTGGCTTGCATAAATTCTTGTAGGACATTAAGCACAACTATTATGGACAGCAACGGTTACTCGATGAAGCGTTGGTTGGTCTAAGGAATTAGCTCTGCACAATCTAAACTAAGCTTTCAAAATGCATATTGTGAAGCCTGTATCCGAAAGGGAAGGGGAAAAAATATCACACAGTGGTTAATTTGGTCACTTCCACAATAGTTGGTTGATCCTCATCCTTGTATATATAAATCTTAATGGTGTTTTCGAACTCTCCTTTCTTGGAGTGCAAATGACAAAGATAGAGGTATTATTGCACCAACCTCGCCGCCGAGATAACACAGATCGCCAGAAGATACTAAAGTGGTGTCATGAAAAGCCGATCTTCCAAGTACCCGAACCATGCTTGGTTCCACCATGTGCTTCCCTCCTAATATCTTAAGTATAGTGGTCTTGCCTGTCAAAAAGAAACTATCATCAGCAAATAAGTCAGATTTAACAGACCTATGAGGATTCAGGTTTACTCATTAGAACTTGCTCGCTAAGAATACAAAATGGAAGGAAGTAAGATTCTAGCGATTTTATTTCGTTTGTTCCATCTTGCAAACAACCGAATCTAATACAGAAACAAGTTCCTTTTTCGCGTTGGTTAAATCATACTTGGAATAAACTCAACGCATTAGTTATGACCTTCAATTACAACCTGAGTAGGAGGATAAGAAGTTGAGAGAAAGGAAAAAATCAGGACGGAACTCCTCGAATTTCTGGTTTTCTATTCTTTTTTTCAACTCTGCGCTACCAAACCAGGAAGTTAAAGTCCGTTCACAGCCAAATGACTACACAACGTATCTCAATCGAGCGAGCTTCAAATAATGCAGCCTCTCATAGCATAGAAATCAATAAATGATAATTTAGTTGACAGTTATAGAGCATAAGCAAGCAGAACGAACCAGCGCCATTAGATCCGACGAGAAGGCAGCGGTCGCCGGAATTGAGGCTGAGAGAGAAGTCTTGGATGAGAGGAGCGGAACCCGGCGGAGGATGGCCGTCGATCCCAGGATACGTGAATTTCAGATCATTGATCTCGATCGTCGGCCCTGAATTACCATCAGAACCCATGAGCGTTTTTTTCCCTCTCTCAGGACGATAGTTTCGTTCCAACTCCGCAGTTATGATGAACAGGCATTTTAAACAACCACCAACCGACTACCTACTTCCCATCTGCCAACGTAAGGTTTGAAGCCACGGGGGAGAAAAAAATTGATTAACCGATTTAAGAAATAAAATTTACGCACTCCTTTTTTTTAATTTTATTTCTTTGTGTTGTTCTTTTTTGCCATCATTTCTTTGTGTTATTCTTTAAAGGAAATATATGATCTAAAATTCAATAACTAAATTTCGACCCAGCCCACATATAAGCGTCGAAACATGAAACCTGAGCAATATTAGCGCGACCCTGTCATAAAGCTTATATAATAATTAAATTCTTTTTATCGATGTTTTGATTCTTCCCGCTGAGCTGGCAAAATGAAAATTGTTCCCGCTGGAAGGTCCAAAAAAATTTGTTTTTGTTGCTGAAAGCTAAAATGGCTGTGCAGAATCAAGGAGATCGCCTTTTGACGCTTCGTTCTAAATCACAATTCAAGGATAAATCCTTTTTTTTTTTTTGGTACAGAAATAGTTTAGGTGAGTTGGGTCCCGGGACTCACCAGGGCCAGGGCATGCCTCCAGACTCAGAGAGCGCTTACAGAGGTACTTACAGATCGCCCACCAACAAGGTCCTCACAAGCCGACTCCTTACCAACTAGACCAACTCTTGTTGGTGGATAAATCCATTTTTTAAGAGAATATGAACCTATTAAATTAATAAAAAGGAGATCGCTGGCCCAAACTTCGCAATTGCATCTGCACCACTGGCCCGAGTCAAAGAAGGAGATCGCTGAGGAATTATATAATTACACATACAGAACATACAGGAGAGAGCGGGGAGGCAATAAGACAATCTTCGTGTTTCGGATTAAGGGAAACTGGAGAAGATACTGTCTCTTATCTATTGTTTTATTTTCCACGATTAACTCTTAATTGTTAAAGTCCCCGATTTCTCTCATTCAAGAGACACGACGTTACTGGGCGAATCTTTTGCTACAATAAACATTACGCGTTGAAAGCTGAAAGACCGAATTGAACTAAAAAAAAGAGACCAAGATACCGAAAATAAAAATATCCCTGTATAAAATGAAGGATATCCATAGTCCAACAATGGCCTAAAAAAGGGAAAGGGACCAATAAAAGCGGTCTGTGAGGGTCATAACAATAAAAACTTAAGCGCCTGTATGACTTCTATACAGAATCCATACTCGACCAATCAAGAAGAAACCCAAGAAAAAAAAAAAAAAGGGAAATTATTAGGACTCTCCACTCCTGCACATAAGAAGTAGAGCAATCTATGCGGCGGATGGAGCTGGAACATAGTGAATACCACCAGCCTCAGTTAATGCCCCCTTGATACGTTCAACATTCACAGTATTCTCATAGTCCAGTGTCTCGTCCTCGTATATGTCCCACCACTTCTTCACCAGCATCTTTATGTCTTCCCTGTCCATGTTCGCTTCTTTTCCTGTGAACCTCCATGGCTTTGACCCCTGCAATTAACCCCATCAGAATAATTCCACATGTAATAAAGGTTTCAAATTCATACAAATAAGTTATTCTATGCAATAGAACTGTACTCACAGCGGCACAGTAGTGAACCACTTTGACATCATCAAGCTGGACATTCTCAGGGTGACGCCACAGCATAGCCAGCACAAGGTTGTACTGGTTAGATATGGGCCTGTATTTGTCCCTGAAGTACATGTTCAGAAAATCCTGCAAGCAAAAATATAATCATATTCACAAATCCTTTGACTATATATCCATACGCAGACTACAGATGGTAAAAGAGATGTGGAATTAATTACCTGTTCAGCAAATATGGTAGGCAGAGTGACTTGCAGGGTTTTGAGGAGGTCAGTGTAAGTGGAGAGGTTCGGCTCGAAAACGAACATCCCAGCGTTGAAGTATAGGGGTGGCTTGGGTCCCATGCTGGCCGGCCAGGCCACCTTATCAGGGCACTGCTGGCAATACCCGATCTGGTACTGTGGAGACTGGCTCCATGTTTTCTCACAGAAGCAGTCCATCACCGCATAGAAATAGTCGTTGGGCAGATCAAAAAGGTGGTCGATGTTGTCAAATACTTGGATATCTCCATCCAGGTATATCATCTTGCTGTACTCCACAAACTGCACAAGTTTTTTTAATCAAATTATATCTATATTATTTTGATCAGAAAGATAAAGAGATACCGAAGTGACTGGGAGACGATAGTTCCGGTTAACAGTCAAGTAAAACGATATTAACGGCATAAATGATGGAAAGTGACCTAAGAGAAAACTGTGACACGAGAAATCAAGGGGAGCAGAGAAGGGTAGAGGGTTAAAATGCAGATCAATTAAGTTAAAAGGGACATGAAGACAGAGGATAGAAAGGTACACACGTTCCAAATACGGAGCTTGGAGTAGTTGATGACATAGTAGGCCATGGCGAACTGGGTTTGGTTCTCCGGCGGGTACACAGGCTCGATCTCCTTCACAATGCAGCCTTGAGAGATCAGAATCTTGCGGTGCTCCTCGGGAACATCCGGCAAAGTGGCAACCACCAAGGGGTAGACGCTCTTGGCCTTTCGCAGACCTTTGGCCAAGCCGACCACGCCCTTCACGTAGTCACCGTCACCTGCAAGAAAAGTAACATACGCACGGCTTGACCCCTTGGCTCGTGCGGCTGCGGCGTTGGCAGCAGCGGTGGTGATATCAGGTGCCATCTCTCAACAGCGAAAGGGAAAATGAAAGGTTTTCAAATAAGAGCTAGAAAGCTACTGATTAATTTACTGTGCAAGCGGATTTCTTAGTCTGGCTGTGGTGACCAAGGAGGGTGGCAAAGGGTCTGCTTATATAGGACCATGGAGGGCAATTGTGGAAAAGGGAAAATCACCGAGTGAATAACTTCTTCCCCGCGTCAGTGGGGGAATAATGAATATATTATCTTTTAACTTTTGGAAGGTGAGAGATATGAATCCTGGATCAATCGAATCTTGGCATCAATTAGGCAAGTAATGGGACGTGGAAATCAAACCGTGTCGTTTCTTCATTTTTCTTTTGACCTTTTCGATTAAATTATATATTAGTTACACTTTTTTAGTTTGGTCCCCTGAATTCTTTTGACCCAACGGTTACAGTTAGTCGTTGGTGTTGGATGTTAGTATGCATTTTTCTTTTCGGCTCCAAATGTATGGCGCGTCTTGAATTAAGTCTCGCTTTCACTTGGCTCTAAGTCTTTTGTGATCGAAACATTCAGGAATAATATGGCATCAAACTTGACGAATCATAAGATTGCATTTTATTACTGCCTTAAGGATATTTATATACAGTATACCATCTTCAATTTTACCAATACGCTGTTAAATGATTGACCAGGAATGACCATTTGGCCCTATTGATAGCCCCATGAATTTTCTCCTGCATTTGATTTTGAAATGGCTGGATCCAAAAAACACATTTCCTTTTCTTTTCGGCGGACTAAATAATATTAATGTCATTTTTTGTGGGGGACTGTAAGTGAACGAAATAATATCAATTTTTTGGGGCCGAAAAGAAATTAATATCTTTAGTTACGTCCAAATTTTGGAAATTGAGGCACGCATTAACACATGATACGTCAGCTGTCAAGCACGGGGAGAATTAATTTCGACACAAAACGCGCCATATAATTTCTGAATCTCGATCAGACCATAATTATTCTAATTCACTCTACCTTTATATTCCCTATCCATGCCGAGCTATAATGTTGAAAATGAGAATCAAACAGATTGGCTGCGTGATCCCTGATCATTCATCCTGTGCACTATTTTTTTCAAAAAATAAAAAATAAAAAACAGCTTCGCCCCCCAGAAACGCACGAGATTTTATTCCCACAAGGAAAGAGCCGCTGCGTTGCGAAACTTAAAATTGTTTTAAGTTCCTTTGTCGCACATGAAAACCTTAGTTCAGTATTCACCCGGAAAAGCCACAACTCTATTGATTGGGAGGGGAAAAAGAAGAAACAAAATAACGGGAAAATGGGAAGGCGTTAATTTCCTAATACGTTTGATTTGGCTGGTTAACTGCCACCGCCCCTGCCCATCACCGACAGGCCTTTCGTAATTAATTTAAGCAATTGGTCACAAATCCTCCGCCAAAGTCACCCGCTAGGGAGGCACGTCCCCCCTCACCAGAGACGTGGCTTCCCCCGAAGCGCCTGTTACCTTGGAAATTAACGTCTATGATTTAGTGGGGCCAGCCGCTAGAAGACTCGCGCCACGTGGAACTTCGATCCCGCCCGGCTCAGGTTTCCTTCCCCACATTACATTGGCTTTTATTTTCTGGTGGGGTCCATACTGAAACCGTTGCGTGTCGAGGTCTCGGTATCTCTCTCCATGGCGGGACATGTGTCATAAAATAGAGGCACAGCTAGTGCCACGTGGCCATTCGCGTGTCTTGCCGGACCAACGGTGGCACCTGTCTTGACTCTCGAAGTGGAGTGTGTTGGAAATGGATAAATCTTAGAGGACTGGAGGAAAGACATAAAATATTTGCTCCGGTTATAAATATTTGCTCCGGTTATAAACAAAATAAAATTTATATAAAATTTTAATTTTTTATTTAAAATTTCAGTATGGTAGTTAGTCCAATTTTGAAAGGAATAGTTATTCCGCTGGACAGACAATTCGCAAGCCTTAGGAGGATAACGTTTTAAATTGAGCCGACCATAATAGATAATCTAGGTGAGAAAATTGTGTGGCCCCAAGCACGAAATTTCTTCCCCCTCGCATCTTGGTTCGCTTTTCAATTAGTGTTATTTATTTATTTTAATGACCGAATCTGCCGCGGCGATTCCATAATATAATGTTTCCTTATTATTTCTTTCGTTTGCCATGACTATAATTAGTCAACAAAAAATTTCCTCCCATAAAACCAGCAGATATGGGATGATTTGTTGCCAAAAAAAAAAAACGGAGAGCTGAAGATCAAAACTTTCTGTGACATGGTTCCGATCGGCGGAAAGTCAGCAAGAGATTTTCCTTTAACATTCGTGTCCATTTCCTTTTGTGTTAAGATTTTCTTTATTCCATTTCAAAACATTATCGTAATTACAGATATACTAATAAATTAATCACTCATTTCTTTATTTGGTCGGTGGATGTATAGAACCACTCGACAGATCGAAATTGGGTTTGCAGAGGTTATGTCATGGAGGGGGTCAGTAATGACGGCCGAGTCAATTCGGCAAACAAGATCATGAATAGGGCCCCAGGAATGCGGGTGTCCGATTATTACAAATCTAATGGGCTTACTACGGACCGCAGGCTGGATTCACACCCAAAACTTTTAGATCCTCAATTTCTTGCTGGGCCCAACCCACTTAGCTATGCTGAAATTTTGACTAATATCCAAAGAATTTAAAACAAAAAAGGCGCACCACCAACAGAATTGAGTTTAGTAGAAAAAAACTAATCCCTCACAATATGACTAATCAAAGTTTGAATCCCCATTAAAAGAAGTGTCCGTATTGTTTTTGATTCGCCAAACGTTGGGGAGTGGGGGTTAGACGAATAAGGTGGTTTAGAGAGGAGGATGATTTTCAGACCGGCGCTAGAGGGAACGCCTTTGGAAACCACAATTAGCAAAGTTTCGTACTAAAATTCTCTGGCGAGCTAGAGAGTTCGCGTATGCCATGCTCCTAGTCCTAGGCAGATTATGCTTGGATCCGAAGGTGACGCAAATGGATCCCAACCGTATTTGATTTCAGGCAGTGCGCAAATCGACAATCCATAGAAATCAAGTTTTGTAACTCAACTAGATTTTTCCTGTGCACATATAATATAGATATAAAATTTTAATGGTTCGCATGGATTTCAATAAGCACGATAAAATAACTGTGTAAATATGAAAAAGGAAACTCTAGCCAATTACTTTGGGTCCCCTTGTCTGTTTACTAGCTATTCCGTAAAGGAAATTTAGATTTATGTTTATGGTTTAGTTTGATTCATGTCTGGCTTTTAATTACTGTTCCATCAAGGGCTGTTAGCGTCCTCACTCTAATCATCTCATAGATTGCACAACGGAATCTCTATTTCCAAATGCAGTGTCATCTTGCATAAAGCCTTGGGCTGGTTACTTATTTGTTTAATAAAACGAAGAAAAAATAGAATAATAACGACAGTCAAAGTACTCGTGTAAGACTTTTCGATGCCATAAATGAAATAACTTCAATAAACACAAGTGACTGAAGATGATCATTAGAACAAAGAAAGAATAAAGAAACAAGATTGTGGAAGATCTCAGAATATCTAAGCAGCTACCTTGTTCACTCGAAATGATCCCATTACTTGACGAAGATCACTTTCCTCTTGTAAAAATACATTTTCAGGTGCCTGCAATCGCAGCTCGTATAACTGGTTGTTTTCAACTCCAAGAACAGATAGGTACCTCCGGTCCCATTCCAGACGTACCACTCGGTCTTGTGGCATCACAGCCAGTTCATTGTTGTTAGCGTATGACTTTATGTTTACCTGGTACCAACAAAACAATTTAATGAACAAATCAATAGACGTAATCAGATTTTCTACTCTAATCTCATGATCAATAAGCAGTAATTATGCAGCCGATATTGCCAATACTCAATATTACGACTAACCTCGACTTCGTAGTATAGCTTGCCATCATCAGCAACTCTTGAAGATGTGCTTAGAATATTTGATTCGCGTCTTACACCAAGTCTTGTAGACATGAACTCAGTCAAATACTGCTTGAGTACTTTCTTTCCTGCTTCCTCGGGAGGACCCAAATCTTCAACACTCTTATATCTGGAAGATGAAGGCGAGGACACTTCAACTGACATATTTTCATCCAGAACATAAGGGTCTCGGAAGAATATGTCAGCCCCAGCACCTCGGACTTGGATCCAGTTCCCGGGATACTTGAATGAATAACCATCAAATGTGTCCACATATTCTCTGAACACAACAGATTGCTGAGCTTGAGCCACAGCCATGCCATGCAAAGCAACTTCTGAGATAACATAACTTGATAAGGTCAAAAACATTGCTTTCCTCCTTGGAACTGCAAGAGCTTTGGTCTGATTATACATCAGCAGAGATAGAATCGAAGGCCATTAGCAGGTGGCCCCATGTCAAAGTGGAAAAAGAAGACAGTAGCAACAAAGTAGACGGATGTTCTAAGTAATACATGAATAAATATAAATAATAAATGTTTAGGGAAGTTTTTATATTGTGCCTCTTCTGGGTTTCACCCCTTCTTTCCATAGGTACCAATCTCTTAAATATGTGATTTTCTATCTGCTTTCCTATCCCTCAATGACAGATTATTCAATGTTCTCCATTGTTATTACTTTATAATGTTTGCAGGAAAGATCACAGACTTTAGAGCCTTTGCTTCTCTTTCTATATTGTAAGCAGTATTTATTTAAAATGATATGACGGCAATGAACACGGTCTGTGCTCCATTAGCTAGTTAAATGTATATAGTGAATCTACACAGAGGAAAGAGTGGGCAACCATAAAAAGGCCTCATGGTTTCTTCTTCATATCTGACTCCTTAGTCCTTACTATCAGCTTTAAGGATTAATTTTGCGAGCAAAAGATGCGATGCATACCTCTGACACGGATGCAGGGAAAGAGTAAACAACGCATACAAATAACAGAAGAATGCTTTAAAAAATTGGACTTCGTTGGGCAGTTCTTTGATTAATCTTGTGAAACCAATAGAAATGATCATACGGTCTACAAAAAGTAAGCCATTAGTACAAACTGATTTAGGGTCCTGCCCAAGAAATCAAGAAAAGATTATCCTAATACGCCGCATTTTTCTTCTTAGATATTCAGATTGAATACCTTCTATATGGAAAGACCCCAGGACCATGACATATGCCAGTGGAAGATAAATTTTAGATGCAGAATTTTGGTTAGGATTACCGATTGGGGTTTGGGAGAAACGGAGCAGCAGCAGAACCGAGAGGAATGGAGGGAGTGAGACGAGAAGTCATGAAGCAAACCCCAGGAGATGGAGGAACAAAAAAGGGGGAGTTGGAACGACGTTGTATTCCTCGGGGATAGCAGTGTTGTTGGGGACAGGGAGCCCAAGATTATAGCCATGGCAGGAGAAGAGAAGCACGAGGAAAGTAAGCGGATAGAGGCACGGCAACTGGAGCCTAGGGACGAAGAAGGCTACGATCTGGTGCGGCCACTTGTACTTGCTGTATGCCGTTTCCCTCTTGTATTCTAATTTTTTTAATTCCGTTTTAAATCCATTTGACTTTTTCATCAAAAACAAATATTTTGAGTCTTGTCGATTTTTGATGTCGAATCCTTCACTGTTGCGATGATTACCGTATCATTAAACTAAATTATGCCTCTTTTTTCTGGTCAAAAAGAATTATGTCTCCTTTTTTTCCCCTTCCTATTCAGAACATTTCTTCAATATAATGCATGTGCTGTTGCTAAAATTTTTTTTTTTAAAATTGGGAATCCATAAATTTTCTGAAGCTTGTCTTTTAAGAAAGAGAGGTAAAATTTTATGTTTTATAAAAAATGATAAAACGAAAAGTATATAAAAAACTTTATAAAAATTCATGAATATCAGCTTTAAAGAATTCACTCTAATATATGCACACATAACAGGCCTGTATCTAATTTCACATAAAAGAAAAAAATGTGAATTTTTTAATACTGCCTTCGATCTTAATTATAAGACTTTTTTATACAAGTGGTGTGTTTTACGTGCCTTTGCAAGAAAGGGTCATGAACTAATAATAATCTCACACTTCTAGGGAATTGGTTTATTAGCAGATAATCTGACTCTATTTCTTCACGGCGTCTCTATTTCTAACGTCTAGCGTCAACCCAAACCCCTCGCATCACCGAAAATACAAGGTCAAAGAAAAATTTGTAAAAATAGTAAACAACCATCTGGGATTCCTAGCACTGATAATAGCAGAATGAGAAAAATCTTAATCGAGAGTTTTGAGACCTCGCAAAAGGCAAAATCCAAAAGCTTAATCCCACCTTTAACACCACGTGGTTACCAACTTCATTTGAAGCCATCGGCCATCCGCACAGGCAGGGTTAAACGGCGATTCTTGTCTATATTTTGTTTTCGCGTAAGGATAACACTAAATCTGGATTGTTATCTTTTTTGACCCCATTAATCCAATTTTTATTTCTCTTTTAGCTACAGAAAGTGAGAGTTATGCACAAAAGCCCATTTCTTTCCCACACCACATTCTTCTTTTCCAATATTACGGGGGCCGTTTTGTTCTTAAATAATATCTCAAGCTGCATGCTTACCGTTAGAACCGTTGTCCCCTAACTCTCTTGAAGGCAAGTCTTTTATTCTCATTCGGTATTCTCTATATTCTGACTCAGGACATCTGTGTACAGATCAAACAGTTTTTAGGGAGATTTGATTTGTTTATTCACCTCCTGGCTGGGATTCTTCTGTTATGAATGCAATTCGTCTTTTCAGCCATTGCACCATGAAACCCTCCTGCGGGCTTCTCGGTGGTTGTAGAAGTTCATCATTTTTTGGGGACCCTCGTGCAAAATATCCCCATAATGTAGCATGCAATTTGTCGAAATATCGACTCAATTTTGATCGTAACAATCACTGTTCTTTTCGAATATTGGGGTTCCCCCGTATGATTAACGAAGCCCGGAAAGTTACAGGCTTGCGCTCTTCGAATTTTTGTCAGTCGAGGGTAACTTCAAGGTCTTTTTCTTTAAGCGTAAATAGAAGAGTTTCATCTCTCGTTACAAGTGCCGCCCCAAGGGTTCGGGATTGCTCAACGTCCATCGAGTCCTGTCGCAATGACAATAAATTTGAGACGGTTTATGTTCAGGGTGGAAAGAATGTGAGACAACTGGTGAAGGAAAGAATTGACAATGATGATAATAGTGTAGGAGAAGGAGATGGCTGTAAAGACGTGAACACAGAGCATTCAAAAGGTGGGAATGAATCAAAGGATGTGAATTTACAGAGTGAAGGCGAGGAAACAGAGGTGGAGAAAGAGGCATGGAAATTACTAAGAAATGCAGTTGTGACTTACTGTGGCAATCCTGTGGGGACGGTGGCTGCAAATGATCCAAGCGACGCTCAGCCCTTGAATTACGATCAGGTCTTTCTTCGGGACTTTGTCCCTTCAGCTCTTGCTTTCTTGCTTAAGGGAGAACACGAGATCGTCAAGAACTTCCTTATACACAATTTGCAATTGCAGGTATTTATGCCTTTCAAGTTATTTAGTAGCTTAGTGGCCGGCTTTCTCTCCGATCCGGCCATACAATGCTGGTAGCTACCTATTGCAAGAATGTTTGGGCTTTGAATATTTAGTTAATAGCATGGTTCATGGACATACTAGTGATCATTGTTCATGCAATTACACGGTTACATCGCATAAGTCTCTTGGCCCGTATGTATCCCAAAATGTGACCACATGAACGTAATATATGGTTAGAAGAATGACAACTGTTACAATTCTCTATGTCCTCCTTAATTTTAACAGAGTTGGGAGAAGACAGTGGACTGCTACAGCCCAGGGCAAGGCTTAATGCCTGCAAGTTTCAAAGTTAAAACCATGCCTCTTGAGAAAGATAGCTACGAAGAAGTTTTAGATCCTGATTTTGGGGAATCAGCTATCGGGCGTGTTGCCCCCGTGGATTCAGGTTGGCGCATTCATTTTTCCAGAATATCAATGTGGAAGAACCGTGAGCACGATCCAAAACTTTTAATTATTAATAATGGCATAACCTGACTTTCTTCTGTTATTTCCATGCTGGTTTCTTCACAAGGGTTGTGGTGGATAATCTTGTTGCGGGCTTATGGGAAGCTCACCGGTGATTACAGCTTGCAAGAAAGGATAGATGTTCAAACTGGCTTAAAAATGATCCTCAACTTGTGCTTGACTGATGGTTTTGATATGTTCCCTTCTCTGCTGGTCACTGACGGGTCTTGCATGATAGACCGGCGAATGGGTATTCATGGTCACCCACTCGAGATCCAAGTGAGCGAAACTACGCTCTGCTTTTATTCTTGTTTCTTATATCAAGTGCTGTGCCATATTTTTGTTTTTAATCACTTGGCATTGCCCTATACTCTTGTTTTTATTTTGTGTGTCCTTGACATGAGCGTATAATTGTGTGACATGTGATGAAACTGTGAGTTCAGGCACTGTTTTATTCAGCCCTTCGTTGCGCCCGTGAGATGGTGGAAGTAAGTGATGGGTCCAGGAATCTGGTTAGGGCAATTAGCAACAGACTCAGTGCACTGTCATTCCACATTAGAGAATATTATTGGCTGAATAAGAAAAGGATGAATGAGATATACAGGTATAAAACAGAAGAATATTCCACAAATGCCACTAACAAGTTCAACATCTACCCAGAACAAATTCCGATGTGGCTGATGGATTGGATTCCGGAGAATGGTGGGTATCTGATTGGCAACTTGCAGCCTGCCCACATGGATTTCAGGTTTTTCATGCTTGGAAATATTTGGTCCATTGTTTCGGCTTTGGCCACCCCGAAGCAGAATGAGGCTATTTTGAATCTGATAGAACAGAAATGGGATGATCTTGTGGGGCATATGCCTCTTAAGATTTGTTATCCTGCGTTGGAGTCGGAAGATTGGCGCGTAGTTACTGGTTGTGACCCGAAGAACACGTAAGTTCTGCAAGTGATTTCATTTTCTTTGGGGTTTGGCTATCCGTGAGTAGTTTGTTGAATCTATTTGGTCTTAAATTCAAAATCTTTGTGTAACTTGTGCAGCCCTTGGTCGTATCACAACGGTGGATCTTGGCCAGCACTTCTGTGGCAGGTAAAGCCATCTCCTAAGACCAATTCAAAGTACTTAGTCGGTCCATCTTTTGGCGTGCCGTAATGTCTCAACTGTGGGATCACCAATTTCTGACATGAGCTGGTTGTTGTTATGCTGCGTTATGGGGGCACGGCCAATAGAAATTAAGGACGAAATCTTTAGGAAAAAAAAGGGCAAAAAGAAAAAGAATGCCTACCTGCTAATACATGAATAGGAATCATTCATTTGCCTAATAGCATGGACCAAACATCTGCTATTTGGAGGTGGCAGATAAACCTTCCAACACAAATTCTACAAACGGGAACGGATACGTGCAATTAATACTCAAGTTTCCAAACTTGCCGACTTAAGCGTTTAAGAGCCAACTAACACATGCCCACCAACTCTAATGTTGTCATTTAATGTCACGTCCACCAGTGAACTTATGTGATAAATAAAATCAGATGTGATTGTTAGATTTGAACCAAACCCAGAAGGCCTTGTCAAATCATCAGCATAAAACCACATCGTCTAAACTTTCATTACACTCATTAAATTTATTATGACATTGCATTATAAATGATGTCTATTTGGTCGGCAGTTCACCCTGGCATGCATGAAAATGGGGAGGGTGGACCTAGCAAAGAAAGCAGTGGATTTGGTAGAGAAGAGGCTGCCAACGGATAGTTGGCCCGAATACTACGACACTCGCAGCGGCAAATTTGTGGGCAAACAAGCTCGCCTCTATCAAACATGGACCATCGCTGCCTTCCTTGCCTCTAAGATGCTCTTGAAGGACCCAAAGACGGCCTCCTTGTTGTTCTGGGAGGAGGATTATGAACTTCTTGAGATCTGTGTTTGTGCTCTCAACAAGAGCGGCAGGAAAATATGCTCCCGTAGTGCTGCCAAGTCCCACATTCTTATCTGATCCTATACTGTAAATATATATAATGCAGGATTCATAGGCTTTATACAAGTTTCTTGTAAATATGACCAGCAACGGTTTTCCTTTATGATTTTCCCCCTTTAACTTTGGGGCTGAGGGTGAGATCTCATCCGATTCCCCATTCACCATCGCCATCTTTTTCTTGCCCCGTTAAATAATACTCCCTCCGTTCCTTATTATAAGAGACAAATAACCGAATTACGTTGATCAAAAAAACAGTTAAAATTAGTTAAGAACAATCAATATGTAAAAAATATAATTTTTTTCCAAAAATGCCCTCATTAATAAAGAGAGAGAGCATGATAGAGAACAATTAAATTATTAAAAGAAAGAGAAGTAGGAGGGAGGGAGAGTGTGAGTTGGAAACAATAAATATGGGTAAAATAGGAATCAACACAAAAAAGTAGAGACAACTTTTAAGTGTCTCTTATATATAGGAACATGCCATAAGCATCAAATGTCTCTTATAATAAAAAACGGAAGGAGTACTATGTACTGCTTCTTTGCGGCGTAATTATTTCTTACTTGTTTTAAATATGAAATTTCAAAAAACAAGTGCTCATGGACGGCCGTTAGCGAAGAAATAGATGGTTGGAGCATCAAAACATCAAACGTCCTTGACTGAAGGCCTTTAGGTTTCCGAGATAGTTGCGAAAACCCGTGCAAAGCTGACTAATTTATGTTTGTCCTTATGCTGAAAAAGATCAAAATAACGATTTTAATGAAAATATACAGTTATTTGCTTTCATTTTGATGATTTCTAATCTAAAAATAAACAAGCTCTAAATTATCTAGCCTTTGCATTAGTCGCCGAGAAGAAAGAAAGAGACCCCACCTCCTCACACATACACGAATCTTTTCCTGATTTGTCTAAGCAAAAATATAAGATGTATTGATTATTTTTGTTATAATATGCTTGTAGATTATTTAATACTTGAACAAAATCAGAAGAAATTTTTATTTATTAGAGAAATGATTCCGTTCAACCTTAACGGACTTCCTGCGTCTGGGTTTTCCTTTTTCCCTGCTAAAAATCAAAGGAACGTCACCAATTAAATCATAAAAAAGCGAGCTTTGCATTTTTTGTCAAATCCAGTTCTACTGTCATCTTCATCCTTGTTTTTCCTATCTTTCGTTTTTTTCGCCTTGATTTGGTTCGATTCAACTAGAGTGGAAGCCCAGTAAATCGTGTTTTCTTGGGGGACAAAAGCTCATAAATCACCTCTCAGTTTCAGAGGAAACGCGATTCGTTCTGGACATGTGGTGGCCGAAATAAAAAGGGATTGATTTCTTTTAATGCGAAAGCGTGAGCATGGGTTTTAGGACCCACTTACATCTATAAGGATCATCTGATAACAACAATAACCCGAAACCATAACAGCAGACAGAAAAGTTATCATTATTATTAATAATGATATGCGTAATTTAGAAAATCAGACCTCTCTCACTTCCACGGGCGTGGCTCCAGCTTCTTTACCTTCCTTGCCATCTTTCTCCTTCTCCTCAATTTCGAAGGCCGAAACTGGGAACGACCTGAAGAGGCCGGCGGGGGTCTTAAATGTAATTTTGCCGGTGGGAGGGTCATCCACGAAGATATCACTGAGGGTGATCCAGACCAAGAGCTCCTTGGTCTTCACACCATTGAGCTTCTTGATCTTGCCGTGCTCCACTTGAGCAGTGACCTCAGGGGCATAGGAAACCAGCTTTCCTATCTTCTCGAACTTGTGGGTGGTGCTCTTCTTCTGCTTCAGCCACACGAAGCCTGTTTCCTTCACATACCCACACTCCTCCATGTCTTTCAGAGGCAAAAGCCCGTTGGGAAGCCCTATTTCCTTCAGCAAAAACTTGGACTTTTCCTGGCACAGCTCGTCGCCATTGTACACCTCTGCTTTCGCTTTCAAGTCCTCTGTGACAAGAGACATCTTCCCACTTCTGATCAATTCCTTGCTTCCTTTCTTTCTGCCCTCAAAGTCTCCCTCAGATTGGAGGGGTTCATATAATTGTCCATCTCCGAACTTGCCCTTGAATTTCGCGTTAAATACAAAAATGCCATTGCTTGGTCAAGGGCAACCGGGGGAAAAGAGCTCGTTAAGAGTACTCATAACCATTTTTTGAATTGTTTTTTTAATTGTCCTGTGGGAAGGGCGATGTGGTTGACAAGTAATGAGAGAGTTAATGAGGGGAGAAAGAGGTTGGTTGAAAGACAGCGAGGCGGTTCCCATGTTTGAACTTCGACTGGTACTGTTGTTGGGTTTGGCATTTACTGCTGCATCTCATCCCACACCTTCCCCCATACTTAGGTTGCACAAATTACAATGTATCATTAAAGTTTGTCAATTTGAGGGTAAGTGTCAGAAATGCAGGATTATTTAGATAGAAATCAAATCATAATTTTAAAAGTGTTTTTACGGTTTACGAAGTAAATATGTGAAGGAGTTTACGAGAGTGTTTGGATAGAAACCAAACTATGGTTTCAGAAATGCTTTTACAGTTTACAAAGTAAATATGTGGAGGAATTTGTCTCGTTTTATAAAAAAATGCTTCTGAGAAGTACGGGTTACGAAACACCTTATCTTATTTTACGGAAAATTGTTTCTTAGACAATCCCAAACACTCCCGCACTTGCCGATTGTAATTGGCTTTTCTTTCGCTCGTGGGCTGGCCAAGCTGATGGCACTGATATGTTTTGGATTTAAGAATCTGACACGACACGCGAAGATGAGGAGCTAATTCAGTTGTTCCTGCCCACACTGTGTTTGTTTTTGCTTAATCAACAACAGATCACGCCCAAGCTATTCTAATTCTTCGATGCAGTACTAAATCGAGTTGTTTGCGGGTGGGTTTAATTAAAATGAGAATTGCAGTTTTTAAAACTAATTTTTTAGTTGTGATCAAATACAACATAAATACATGTTTGCTTGCACTTCTTTCATGTAAAGATCTCTTCTTGCAGGAACCCATTTTCACCTGCACATGAGGACCATTTTTCCTTTCCATGAAGGTGGGAAGCCAAAATTTCCAGAGACCTCTTGAAATTCCATCAATGGGTCTTTCATCACACGTCGGTGGCTTCTTTTTCATTTTTCCGTCGATGGGTCTGTTATTTGTTTGGGCTATCCCCTTCTCTTTGTAGGTTTGCTTCCTTCGTTGCCTTTTTCTTCTTAAAAAATTTGGTTTTGACTCCTCTGGTCGCAAAATGCTGGTACGAGATGTTGATCTGCGATATTAATATGATTTTTTGTAAATTTATTGTAGATGATCTCACCATAAGTGAAGGTTGATGATGAAGAGGACGGGCAAATAATACTTCTTCTAAATGATCCAAAGATGTTTGTAGTGTTTAATATTTTTATATTGAACAATATTTACATTAAGTTATTTATATCTATTATATTAAATTTTTCAAGTAAACATAATCATATATTGTATTTTTAAAATATTAAAATATAATATTATTTAATTATAAATCTATGTGAAACAAAAGAGAACACATGACCATGATTGGAAAACTTAAAACATGTTTTAAGTTTTTTCCCTTTTATAGTATAGTATTATATTTTTAATTGTTTTAGAAAATTACACTTTCCGTCCATTGACATTCTCATCAAAATATATCATGTGCACGGGCCACCCAAACGGCCCCAAGTATTGCAAAGCAAGCCAACGACTTTGCCACGTCATTTAACGTAATGGTGGAATTACTTGTTTACAAGAAACAAAAAACTAAACTGGACACTAAACTGGTTAAAGTAACGATTCAAAGGTTAATTGGTTGGATCAGGATCATTTGGGAATCGAACCGATTATATTAAAATAATATAATTTAATTAAAAATAACAACTAAATATAAGAAAATATAACAATAATTTGATTATAATAACAATATTGAAAATTTTAATCTTTATGATTCATGATTAACTAAAATTAATAATCATTGATACCAAAATCATCATTAGAACTCATTTAAATCTATAAAGACTGAGATATTAGGAGCTGACTTCCGATCCGATTTCTTGTTCTCTACTTGTTTACACCACTTTCTTTTCTTTGTTTCTTTTGAACAAGTTACTATAATTTACCAATAAAAACAAGGAAAACCAGACGTACAACTTTCTTCTATGAAGTATGAAAGCTACACTATTATTTGTTCCCCTGGTAATATGATTATGAAAAAACTAAATACTTATAAACAAAAAAAGTGGTCAGGTTTCTACTCCAAAAAAAAAAGGCCGTTTGGTGGTGGCTTTCAATTAAAAGAAAAAAGACGTAGTGTGTAAACTTTACCAGCTAACTACCATCCACCCTTGCGCCGTTAGTAACACTGCTCCTATACTCTACAAAGGTATTTGTAATTCGACAAGCCCTTCATTCAGAGGTTGATCAGACGCAATGGAGAATGGGACGTGGAACTAACCATACCATTCTTCCTTATTTCTCAATAATTATAACACTGTATATCATCACCCCTAGCACTATGCAGATTTTTTTCTTTCTGAAGGCAAGTCTGGATAAATGCTTTCTTGGAAGGAAAGGAATCCGCAAGGGCATGTGGCGTCACAATACTAGTAGTTGGATCCCACTCACGGGTCCATTCGATTACTCATCGCCAAGCGATCACATGGCATGTGCATACGTTACCCCTAATCCTAAGGTGGAGCTTAAGTTACAACACACGGCTCAATTGACGCTGACGTCCATGCCCTCAAAATTCTAACGCAATTACAACAATAAGTGGGATCAAGATTTTTACCAACTGCCAGAAATTTATTATGATGGTTTCAATTACATGACAGCAAAAATTACCTGGGCAACTTGTTTCTGTGACAACACCAGTACTTTCTTCCCGCAGTCTCTTGACATTGGCCTCAAAACGGAATTGTACACATTCTTCCTTCTTCGGGAAGGTGGCATAAGGAAGGGCGATGAGAAATTAAAACACTGTAGAGCCTATTGAACCTACTGCAAAAAACGACTTAGGAAGTCCTTGATCACATCAATGTACGGAGGCCGCGTAGGAATTATATGACCACAATCATGTTCGACAATAACCGAACTACCATCATACAGAGAAGCAAGTTCCTTACTAGCTTGGTTGGCTATCTGCCTGTCTTTGCCGTGTTCATTGCCATAAATGTGAAGAGAAGGGCATTTGATCAACTCGCAGTCCATCTCCTTTTTATGGACAACAAAGCCTGAGCACAATATTACAAATCTGAAGCCCATTTCACCTTTAAGCTTCTCTTGTGCAGAGATTAATGCAGCCATTGCTGCTCCCTGTGAAAATCCCAATATTCCATCGAAAGGCCCTTCTTGAGCAAATACAGCCTTCAAATGAGCCAGTGAAATATCATATCCATCAGTTTGCTGCTGGTATTGAAGGGGATCAAATGGGCCATCGGCTGCCTTCCAATCAGCCATAGCTCCGCTGTCAAAGTTGGGTGCCACAAACCATGCAAATTTCTTCTTACAGTTCTCCGGAGGAGGAGGACTTGAGGGCAATGAAGTTGATGCACAATTAGTATGCTGATCCAACACTGGGGGTTGATAAATATATGGCAACTCATGAGGTGCATCGATAAAAAATAAGTCAGCAATTCTCTTGATTTTCTTCGCTAGTGATGCTGTTCTTCCTTTAAAACCTGATGCATTCTGCCGAAATCCATGCAAGCATAAGATTCTGAGTTTTCTTGCCGACCTGACATCTGCAACACCATTTTAGAGACTTTTAGCAAACTATAGCATTTAATCACCCAACTCCTCAAATTTTAGGAGAGCAAACAAAAGAGGAAAAAATTATGAATTCCCAAAAAAAAAAAAAATATTTCTTAGATACGAAACAATTAATCAGACAAGTAGAATACTCCTCTGGTCCTTAATATAGGACCTAATTATTGAATTGATTTTGGTCTTAAACATAAAACTTACTTCTCATGTTTATTAATTTTTTCTAAATTACTCCTTTGAATATTCCCTCAACCATAATCAAGTAGAAGAGAGAGGGAGCATATTGACAGAAATGATTATGGTGTTTTAAGAAAAACATGTCATATTTCTTATAATTAATTAACTTACCTAACTTTCTTAATCTAATCAAATTAGTTAAATAGGTCTTATATTAAAGACCGGAGGAGTACCGTACCAAACTTTGAACAACCACTAGTCTGGTAAATTTTTGATACAGTAATTCTCCTCCAAAATTCAGTACTCCTTGACAATTGTAGACTAGTCATCATAACTGGACAACAATTTGACAGAAAGTAGAGAGCGAAAATTGCTGATAACATGGATCACAGACCTTACCTTCTTTCTGAGGCATTTGAGATGAAAAGGTAGTATCGAACGGAACGTTTTGAAACTCAACATCTGGTAGAGGTGTTTCTGCTTCACCAATTTCGGTTAGCTGCATCATCCTTACAGACTTGCCCTGTTGTTGGCACAACTCACAAACACAGGGTGCAGCTTCATTCTGGTGGACCACAATAACAAGCTTCAGAAGTGGGGGGAAAAAACAAACAAAACAAAAAGACAAAAGAGAAGGAAAGGGGAAGGTGGGGTTTTAACTAAAGCAGATATTGGATGGGTTTGGAAGGACTAATTTTCTCCAGTATCAATTTATGGACAAGATGCAAACTATGGATCATGCCTGGCAACTATTGCAGACCAAAACAAGCATTCTGCAATAATTACATCTGGTGCGTGAAGAATAATCATCAAACGAACACCCACAAGTAAGGCAGGTACCCATAACGTTTGGATCTGAGCTCCCAACAGATATCCTACAGTCATAGTACAAATGGAGCACAAATTAATCCAAAAATGGCAGCATCATTTTGTTACTAGGCATCAATACATACAAAAAACCCACCATTACAGCGAAAGCATCCAATGTCATTACCACGGATTATAAATAACAAGTGAAATAAAACAAAGAAAAAAATATCAAAGCTATCAAATTGCAATTGACAGCATTTGCAATTAGCTACTGCAACAGAACTCCCAAATGATGAAGACAATCAATAAAACCACTAAGTGTTGCAGATCCATGGTCTGTCTAACATCTCCCAGGACATTTGTACGATTATCAGGAACCATATAATCCAGATTCTTCATTGTTCCATCTACTGATCTAAATACATGAATCTCCATCAGATTCATCACCATACCGGTTAAGAAAATATTAGCTTTTTGAGGGAGGGCCATGCATAAATAACTTTTTCACCAGGTGATAGACAATAAACCTTGTCCAAATATAAATTCTGAATTTAGTTAGTCACCTAAATTTATCTATTTTAACATAAGAAGGCTGAGAGAAGAGTCTGGAAATAGCGGACAAAACAAAAAAGATAGTGGAATAATCATAGAAAAGATAAGCCAATGATAGTAACAACAATAGTAACACAAACACCGGAAGTTATAATAAATCACAAGCAGAAGAAACTGAAAAGATTATAGAAATTAGAAATGGTTATAAAACATTCAAACCATCAAACAACAAACAAAACAAATAAAGAACTACTGTGCTCAATTATTCATGAAGAACAACAGCTACAGGAATTATTCTTAAGAAATAACAAGTTGCAATAAAGTGCACGAGTACATAAATCATACCGGTGATCAAAAACAAAATTCTTTCCTCTAAAGAAACCACCATCTGGAAATTGCTCCAAGTATCGTTGTATCCCACCAAATAGCTGCAATTGATCCAAAATAACAAGGAATACATGCAATCAATGTTACAATCCTAATGAAAAATTTTCTACACTGCACAGTTAAACATTTTCTATTACACAAAGGTATCAAGGCATTTATATTGCTACAGACTTATCAAAGGTAGTGTCAACATGAACAGCTTATGATCATTATACAAACCAAAATCGTGTTAACAACAAATTTCCAAGGAAAATGAGAGAAGAGAGGGGGGGCAGTTCAATCCAAGTGTTAATTAAGAAGCATACCTGAAACACATTCTCAAAGCCCAATCCTTTTGACTTGATATATGCTGATGCCATTTCACATCTGATACCGCCAGTGCAATACCTGTAATAAACCAACAAGTTGCATCACACGCCTTAGTTTACTATAAGATGCTTAACCACAAACACAATTGCTCCGACAAATCCTATCCTCAAATTACCAATTTGCCATTTGCATGAACATAGTACAATAATGCTTTGGACCAAGGATTTGACAAAAAGAATTTCTAGTACTAAAAGGAGCCCTTACATGAGGATTTGCTTCCCTTTCAATTGATCATGATTACCATCTATCCATGATGGCAAATCACTGTATTGTCTAACTTGTGGATCCAAAGTTTGAACATTTGGTGCGTGAAATTTCCCAATTCTTGTCTCATAAAGATTCCTTGCATCAAGCAAGACAAGGCCATCTGCTGAACTCTCGTTCACTTCACATGAATATACATATATATATAAGGAAGATCGAGATTTGAAATATTAAAGGCAGCAGATATCAAAAAGGATGAATAAAGATGCAAGAAATACAATGTAAGTCAATGCTGGAAAGTTGCAGCTACTTACCAGCATTCTGTAGGACAGAATGAAACTCAACTGCAGAGAGATGTCTTCCAGCGTTCGAGATTTCTGGTGGCTTGAGCAAGGGATGAGACCTAAGAGTAACCAGCTCCTACAAATAGTGACCTAACATATCATTGAGGAATGCAGAAACTAGCTATAATGCCTGGATTTCCAAGCCTGTGTTCCATCAGACAGAAAACAATCGATCAAAAGTGTAGCATGAGCCTAGTATGGTAATGGACATGGCAAACGACAAATAAAAGCTAAAAAAAAAAAAAAAATCATATTTTCATTTCTGACCAAATGATTGGCGAGTATTTGTCGATTATTCCTCTAAATCTGCATTACGGTAACGGTGCAGTTAAAATAATAATAGCCTTTATAAAAAGCAGCTTTCGCATCTAACGGATATGTAATGGGTATTTGCATTTTTTATATGTTCCTGCATAATTTATCTTCTCATCAGATAGTGGAACGCTTCTTTTTCCCCTTTTCTTAGATTTCAGCTGAGAAGTTACCCAGACTTCAGGCGATAGCGGCGAAACATCTGGTGAGGTCTAATTAGTCATTGTAGCATTAATTACAAATCGCCATGCCCACTCATTGTCATTGTCTCAAATGCAGAGGTTTGTAAACACTACAAAGAAATATGACTGACTTAAAAAGAAACCAGTGACGAAAATTACCTTAACAATTCGAACTGAGAGAGAAGTAAATCCGCATTCTTTTGCAACCTGGTCGTTTAATGGTTGATGACAAGCAGCAAGCTTGAAATCAGTCCCTTCAAATAAGCTATCAGCCTTGACTGTTTCGATGTGTCTTTCTAGCGAGGATAACTTGCCACCAACCTAATGAAACCCAGTTGGAAAAGAGAAAAATGAATGATAAAACGTAATGATGAAAATAGAGAAGGCTAACAAGAATGCATAAAAGGAAAATGGGGGATAACAATAAGGGGAATTACAGTGACGTTGACGCCATGGGAAGAGAGACGAACGCGACCAAGGAGGCCAAGGGAGGAGCAATTAGACTCGTAGAAAGTGAGGAGGTGCTCGAGGTTGGGAATTTGAGCATACTTATAGTAGAGCAGGACGCCATATTGGTCTGTGCAGTCATTGTCGTCGGACATGGTTTTAGGCAAGGTTTATCGCACCAGAACTACCTTCCACACGACCTCTATAGACCATATGTGTGTGGGCGCGTGGATGCAACGGTGCAAGGGCGGTAGCTCAGACCGCCACAAGTGACCCCAAAATGATGGATTGGCGCCCCCTACGCCCCAACTCCTAATCTAGAAGTCGTCCATCTAAAAGTTGCGGCCCAAACAGATTAGGGCTCAGCTAAGTATGTTTTGCGGAGAACACACGCCACATTTATTTTGGCAGAGAAAAACGATTGATTTTTGGGGCCGCACCCTGTATTTCCCGAAAGAAGAGTGGACCTATTTAGTTTTTTTGGTGATCCAAAAATTTTAAAAAAAATTAGGCTCACTCACAATCTAAGAACAGGATACTTATCACTTGATCTACTATGACCTGTTTTTACAGGCCCGAGAGCATAACAAACAAGTCTTTTTTTTCTAGCCCAGTAGGTAAGAATCTCTCAGTTTTATTACGCTGTGGTGATGTCTCCCCCATTTGCATTTGCATAAACCGAGATATTTTTATAACCATTATTTTTTACCATGGAAAATATTACTAAAAACTCCCAAGATAACCTTATAATTTGTTCATGGAATTTTTGTCCCCATTTCAATAACCACTGTGTTTTAACGTGTGAACTGTGAATAGTAATTAATAGCTAAAAAAAATGAATGTTGCAGAAGATGTTTTTAAAGGAGTTAGCCGGGCAATACCTAAACACCATCATTTAACAGTGTTAGAGTATCAAATAATTACATCTAAAAGAAGAAAAGCAAGACGCATGAAAAGCGTAAAGATATACAAGAACAGTTGAATAATTACTTAGCAATTGCTACCTCCGATCCTTAATATAAGACCTTGTTTAATTTTTATTTTGGTCTTAAATATAAGATTCTCATCCACTTGGTCCTTCATATTTATGCATTTTTTTTCAAGATAGTCTTTCTAATAATAATAGTTATAACCAATACACTTGATTAACAAGGATGTTTTAGAAAAAACAATACCTATTTATTACAAATAACTAACTTAATTATTTTCTTGATCTTTTCAAATTAGTCAACTAACTCTTATAATTAGGACCAGATACAGTATATTTTATTTATGAGTTGAGTAATAATTAATTCCGCAATTTTGGGGGGGCACAACAACAACTCTCCAGAAACATTGCAACTGATCAATAGTTTCTCAAGATCATCCTATTAATTGTTATTTTTGATCTTATGTTAAGAAAAACCAGTCCTTTGCGACAAATCCTCTTAGATATCACTTAGATATGCTTGTTTAAGCGTTATTAAATATGTTTTATGTAAGTTGAGATGAATATTAACATACTTATCATGTATTTCATAAATCATGGTTAAAAAGATATTTATATGTCATTATAGACAAGCCCCTGCTCATCAAAGTTATCCAATTGATGTTAAAAGTGCTGCTATTAGTGTTTCTCCGTATAGAGCTACCATTTTTTTTAAAATAAGATTTCAGCCACAAGCTTCTGTTAATTAGCTAGTCCCTACATTTTCCCACACCCTTTTATTGAAAAGAACACGTTGCACAAGATAAATGGACAGTTCATATATAATATGCAGAAAAGTGATGGAAAAGAAGAACTTAATCATACATCACACAAAAAAAAAGAGAGAGAAAAATAAAAACTTAATCATAATAGGGCAAATCATTAGATATTGAGATCAAAATTGATACAATGAAAATTATAAGAGCAAACATATTGCGAACTAATACCCCCAACACACGCACATATACATGTACTCAAATGCTACCTCCGGTTTTTAATATAAGACATTATTTGATTTTTATTTTGATTCTAAATATAAGACTTCAATCCATTTTCTCTTTTATATTTATGTATTTTTTTTCCAAGGAAGTATTTCTAATAATGATAATTCTAGTCAATACATTTGATTAGTAAAAATATTTTAGGAAAAACAACATCTATTCATCACAAATAACTAATTTAACTTATATACTTAATTTTTTTTAAATTAATCAACTAGTTCTTATAATTAGGATTGAAAATAGTATGAAGCATTGCATGCATGAGTCAAGAACATGACAACTAGTATTTTTTCCCCTCTAAAGGCTGGTTACCTTATTAAATACTCGAGACACTGCTATTCATCAACCAGTTTTGCATGTTACGAGTCTAACTCTGGCCAGAAAAAAAAAACCAAAGCCTAACAAACTCTAGGCGAGCCAAATGTAGGGAGCTAGAGATGATGTTCCAGTCATGTTGTGGTGGATTTCTTAGAGATGATGGTAGGGGTGTTCATAATGCCCGTTCACCTGATACGCCCACCCGAGCCCAGAGAAAAAAATCCCGGCCACTTTTTGGACAGGTCGGGCTCCGGGCACGGTACCCTGCCCTGCCCGTTTGGCCCTGCTTGAGATAATTTTTTTTTAATTCTTTCATACTTTCCCTTCAGCCCTAGCCCCCCCCCCAAATCACGACTCCCTCCTCTACTCTTAGACCCAGAGTGACAAAGTTTCACTCTCCTGACCCTCTCGCCTCCCGATCTCCCTCTCCAGCTCTCCCTCTCCTCCTCCCTCTCAGTCTCAGTCTACTCTCCCCCTCCCTCTCCCCCTTAGTCTCATTCTCTGTCTCCCTCTCCAACTCCATCAGTAGCAAGAACCACAGGAACCACAGCAGTGGCAGATGCAAGTGCAACCAAGTATTTTTCTGTCCTCACTTCAATTTTCTTTTTTTCTTTTTTTCTTTTTATGCATTATAACTTGCATGTTTTGTGATCATTATTTTCTTTTTATGGCTGGGCTCCCTATATTGGTGATAGAGAATAAAAATTATTGCATCTGCCATTTAAGATGATTAGATGAGGGACTCGTCTTTTCTCACGACTTCAGTGCCTGGGCAAAAAACTTGCGATGTTGCAAGATGAAAAATTAGAAAGCTACAGGCGGTTTCAGTAACTATCGTTTACTAATGAGTGCTAGAACTTAATCTAAAAGAAAAGACCAATATGTTGATTCTGATGGTTTTTACTACCTATATATTAAACGGGTATTGAAATAATCAACAGTGGGACACTGATGGTTTGATTTTATTGAAAAACTAATATTACTTAAGGCAAAAAGATAAGATCAATAAGTTGTTAAAAAATACAACAAATCAGTTCTAAAGTTTTTCCAATCCAAATGTTGAACCGGTGCTAATGCGAAATCAAGACATCTAATGGAAACGAACGCAGTGACTGTCAACAAGAACTTTGGTGCTGGATAATCATTGTAGCGAGGCATAAAATTATGGTAAAATGTTAAGAAAAAGGAATATATATGCGGGAGGGAATCAATTATGCTCACATTGACATAATGTTTTTCTTATTAACATCCTTTTTCTTTCCTTCTTCTACAAGAAGGAACTTCTGAGGGCTATTGATGTACGACTTAATGCAGTTAAGCAGGACTTAATCACAGCCTACGCTCATGCTTATGCTGCTGGTTTTAATCCTGATAGTGTGTCTGAACTACAACATTTTGCAGACTAATTGATAAAGAAGAAAGAGAGAGAATAAAAGGTGATTTAATTGGTAAATTGTTATATAAATTATCTTCGGTATGATCATGTGGATATAAATTTGAATGAGTATGCATATAGAGGGAAGAAACAGTGTAAAGTGCAAGACTAGCCATGTTGGTAAGGTGCATCTATTCATTCTTTAAAATTTAAAAGTACATTTTTTTAAACTGTTTTGTTTCTAATATGTTAAAATTATAGTTATTTTTATTTGCATTTTTTCAGGTGTTCTATCTTTTTGTGAAAATTGTGGAGAGTGATGCCGTTTGAACTTCAAAGCTTCAATTATAATATTGGGATTGTCTTGCTTTAAGTAAATTATTGATGTTATTTAATTGGATAATTGTTAAGATTTGTTTTGGATGATTTTTGTATGATTTCACTTGTTCTGGATTATTTCTAGATGATTTTAATGTGGTAAAATATAGAATTATAAAATGTAATTTTTAGGTGTGGATAAAAAAATTTTCTCCATAACATGAGGTTGGGCAACAAAACCCGTCCTATTCACATCCTGCCTGAAATGATTAGGATTTTTTTAGACAAGGCCAGGTTCGGGTAGGATATTCGGCAAGAGCCCTGCCCAGCCCATGTGCACTACTAGATGATGGATACGAACTATTTTGACTTTTTTAGCAATAAAGCAAAACGAAACACATACTCTATACATTATAATAGAACCTATGTATGCTCGAAACTCATGAGTAAATTTTGGTAGTAGTGGCCAAAAGTTTGTTTGGCGCGCAAATCACTCGCTCATGTCTTTTCTTTTCAATTTTTAAATGCCTATGATTTGGTGACATCAACAAGCACATGATGAGACTGTATATATATAATATAAATTCACAATCACAGGGAAAGCAAGTTAGCATTACTGTCCAAAATAATTTTATCTTGTTTGTCTTGCTAAGAGAAGGGAAAACTTTGAAATTTGAATATTTCCCTCTCGAGAGGAATTTCCGAAAAAAGAAAAGAAAAAAAATATGGGCTAGAAAAAGCATGTGTCTGATTTGGAAACGGAGGATAGTAAGGTCAAATCACCCGCGCAAGTGACGGGATCCTTGATGTGGATGCGACCACGTGTTCTGCTCTCGCTCCGCGCGTTGGGACTAAAACTGTATAAACAGCTCTTGAGCGTCTCCCTCCCTCCTTCCCAAATTTAAAAAATTGAAACGATTCACATCAAAATCAATCCTCAGATGAACAGCTGTACATCTTCAAAAATTTCCATCTCGTGGACCCCACTGCTTGCACCCACCCGTCAGACCCAGGCTTGCATCCTATTGGACCCAACGCCAACCCCCACAAAGAACACTCCATCTCCATGTGACCGCACCATACTACACTTACCCCATCATCATGATCATCTCTATAAGACTAAGGGCAGCGGAGGAAAGGGGGTGCGAAGCCAGCTCCATAACGCTCCCTTTCATTTTTCACAATTAATTCTGGCCGCAATGTCGTGTTATAGACATTAGAGAGACCCTTTTATCTCCAGAGGAGGACAAAAAAAAAAAAAAAAGAAGCAAAGAGACGGAG